TAATGAGTGTTGGACCAGAAACAGAGCTCGGGCCATGGTGTCATGGCTGGTTTACCGCGAGGTCGGTTTACCTCTGCCTACGGGGGTAGGCAGACCCGGTGCCTACGACCCCACGGAATGCAGTGACTGGCCTAGCCCATAAACGGTCACCGCCTGCGGTGCCGCTTATGGTTCCACGCCTGGTAAACAGCAGGCTCTGCCTCTCTCGCCCGTCCGCGCGCGCGAATATTGTGAGTATGCCCCAACGAGTTGCAACGAGGCGACTTATTACCGGATCACAGGGCCGGACCTGGCTATTCGTGCGAACGTGCATGGTGTCTGTAAGTAGCAGGCAGCTTGCTGTATCCCACGAGGCCGGTAACGTGACCAGCTTCTCTTTCTCCACGAGGCAACCGCGAAGCGCACAGGGTGTGCTGCTCTTTGTCTTCTACCTCCACTTCCACCGCGCTCCAGCGAAATAACCACCTTATCCCTTCCCCGGTCAGTCCTAGTTCCCGTGTAGTGGTTACCGGAGACGGAGTGTGATTTACAGCATACTTACGCTTTGACTCGGACATTTTGACCATCCGACCATCCACGCTCCCAATGCATCTGGGGAATTCAACATTTCATCTGCATGGTGCGATAGACCTCAATCATTGTCCAAAATGCTTACTCATTCTGCCCAGGTGGTGTTGGAGGTTCTGGTGGAGGAGCTGGCGCACAGGGTACTGGTGGCAATGGAGGCACTGGCGAGGGCCCCACTGTGAAAATCGACTCAGTCGAAACCCTCCACATGAATGACGAGTACGTTGGATCAATGCCCCTTTCCTTTCCCCTTATTCGAGTTTTCCTGAACATCAGTAGGGGCTTAGGATTCTATACTCTCCATCGTGCGGCCACCTTGGAGGCATTGTACGACTCCGCAGAAAGTTTTCCTCAGCCGAAATGCCATCCCGAAACACGCAAACAGTTGCTCAACAATCTGTATTATTGCGTCGTGAACCCGAACTCGCACCGCCTTATCCACTGGCTACATGGTCCTGCTGGCGCGGGGAAATCCGCCGTCATGCAGACTCTATGTCGGCGATTACAGGATGCTGGGAAGCTTGGTGGAAGCTTCTTTTTCAAACGGGGCCACCCGACTCGCGGGAACGCGAAGATGCTCTTTGCCACACTTGCGTACCAGCTGGGACTTCATCGACCTGAATTCAAAGGCCCTATCTCACAGAGTGTAGAGCGGGATCCATCGGTTCTCGGAAGAAACATGGACGTGCAACTACGCACCCTGATTCTTGAGCCATCTAAATCACTTTTGGGCGACACAGTCTCTGTCCTTCTCATCGACGGGCTGGACGAGTGTGATGGGCACGGCATCCAGCGAGAAATACTGCGTTTGATAGGAACCACTGGCAACGACAACCCGGTTCGTCTCCGAATCCTCATTTCCAGCAGACCGGAATTGCATATTCGAGAGACGTTCGGGGAGGAGTACTTCCAAGGACTTGTCACTTTCACAAATATTCAGCAGTCATTTGAAGATATCCGGACTTACCTCCGTCATGAATTTTCACGCATTCATCGCAAGCATTCCACGATGAAAAACATTCCAACTCCATGGCCAGCACCAGATATTCTGGAAAAACTAGTGCAAAATTCATCTGGCTACTTTGTCTATGCAGCCACAGTTATCAAATTTGTGGATGACGAGTATTCCTGGCCATCGAAACAACTGGATATTCTGATTCAAAATCTCCCCTTGGATTTGGAGTCCCCGTTTGCAGCTCTTGATCAACTGTACATCCAAATTCTTCAAGGAGTTCCCACTCGCCTTCTTCGAGTTCTTGGTGACATCTTGTCTGTTATCGTTCAATTCCCATCACATTTTGCGCCGCCAGAAATGGACGAACTGCTGGGTCTTGAACCTGGCAATGTTGAGTTAATTCTCCGTCCGCTGCATTCCGTGCTGCAAATCCTGGAAGGAGGGCAGGGTTCAATACAGGTGCACCATGCCTCATTTCTTGACTTCTTGAAGGATAAAGCAAGGTCATCAAGTTTCTATGTTGGTTCTGCAGAGCACAAGGCAAAATTGGGACACTGGATTCTCCAAGCACTGGCATATACATATGACGATCCTCACAAAAACCTGGAAGATCTTGGGCTCTGCTGGTACGTGGAGATACATCCCCATTCCCAGTCAATGAGCCTATTGTAATTCTGCAATATTTAGGCGTCTCTTGGAATTATCCCCAAATTGGATTGAATATATTACTTCCATTTCACCTTCTGCGGACCTGGTGCCCCACATTCAATTGGTTAATCCGGATTTTGTCCTCCACTTTCAGTATGCCAATTACCGACGGGATGTAGAGAATTTTCTGGTTTGGCTCAAAGTACGTTTATCTACCCCTTCTTGTTCTCAAGTAAATTCAGTCAGGAAGAAAATTCGCCCTGTTCCTGGGACTCTAATCCGACGTTGGGAGGATTATTACTTTGTCCTCCGGTATAAAGATTTCCCAACGATCCACTATTCGGGCAATCTTCGGGCCCCATCGTTCTGCACAATAAATGCTTTACAGTCTCGGTTGACTGTTGAAGTGCAGGCCATAGTCACGGCCTGTCGGGAGCTTTTGACTCAGTCTCCCGACCTGGTCCGCATCTTCCGTGCCAGAAGACTGCTTACTCCCTATCGAAGCTATCTAGCCCCCGACCTGCTTGACTATTCCGTCCAATTGTTTCGAACCCACATTGTCTTGGATCTATCCTGGGACGACATTCTGCGTTGCATTTGTTCTTTACGCCCCCTGATAACTCATGGATCTGTGTTTTTTCACACGCTTTCCGTGTTCCTGCCTGCACTTTGCTGGGAACTAGAGCATCTCTATCCCACAGCAATGGTTTCCCGAGACTTAGCTTACGGATTTCTTCGACTCATCCAGCGGATTGGAAGAGGAGAACGGCCCATGACATTGTGGTGAGTAGAATGCCGAGCATAATAATTTCAGCTGAAAACGTACCAATTTTCTGCAGGGGAAGGTTGGTCTGTTACGACGGGTATTGTCGTGAATGGGGACGGCAAATCAGATCTTCCCCACAACCAGACCTTGAGCTGCTACAGAAACTTGATCAATTCCTTCCACCATGGGATGTGTTTTCGAAATCTAGGGACCGTCTTGAGCCCGTAGAGTTCTATGATGTCCTTCAATGGCTGAAGGTGAGCTGCAACATGCTGGACTTCGATTCTCATAACTCTAAAGACATCCCCCAACCCCCGACCCGACTTGATTGACCGTTGGCAAGGATATCTGGCTGAGAGTATTGTTCGAAAATGCAAGGATTACTATATTCCAGTGGATTATAGCGATGATGTGTTAGAGAAGAGGTGGCAGGAGTATCTGGAGAGGGAGGCATCCTTTCACAGGCCATCTAAGGCATCTGATGAAGAAGTGATCTTATGCTGGGAGAGTTGTTTGAAGAAAGCCAGGGAACAGGACGATGGCAACAGTAGTCGCAAGGGAGATGGCAGTAATTCCACGTAGCATCATTGTATTATCTCAAGTCCTTACCGTTTGACTCTGATACGTGAGTCAAATTGACCTTCGAACTTCAGAGAATAAGATGATACTTTAAAGGGGCTTCCTCAGGAGGTTGACGGAAAAATACAAAAATGCCAGTTTCGCTTTGCTTGAGCCTGGCTCCAACAGGTGACCTCCCCCTCCCCCGAAGCAGCATGTTCACGAACACACGGTAAACTGAGCAACTCGCAATCAGTAACATTCTCATTTGTTAAAATTAATTCTGAATTGCTATTAGCAATAACTTATAATTAATTTTGACTACTATTCTATTGCTATTCTATAGAGCACTACCATGCTACAACAGGGCTCCGCAGTACTGTAGTGTTTCGACCAACTGTTCACAGGTTGTGACGCGTGACCTCAAGTGTTCAGAAAACCAGGTGTTCACAGCGTGGGAATTTGCCTTAAATGGTAATTCGGGCCGCGAGAATTCAACTGATGGCATCAATTTCGCCCGAATCCGATGATTTTGAGGCCTGTGATGTGTTACGATGTACAAAAGTGTTCAATTCACAAACCTTCGTGACCTGTGACGTGAACACTTGGTCGAAACACTACAGTACTTCTCGGTACACAAGTACACCGAGAGGAATGAAAATGACGAGTCAGTGCCAACCGCTCACTGGGTTCGTGAGCGCACCCACTATGCGTGTCACGCTCAGCGCGGGGGGACGCTCAGCGGGAGTGGGTTTAGTCCGGTGCTGAATGTGTGTTGTTTCAACACATCTGCCCTCCATCGTCTGGCAAATGCTGACCCGCCCCGCAGGTAACGAACTGCACTCGGCCACTCCGGCGGAGGCCCCGCGCAATCCAATATTGCTACAAAACCAAAAGTCTGTGGAGTAGGCGAAGAGAGGGGAGAAGTAGAACCGGATGGTCTGAAGGGCCATAGAGCTTGGGTTCACAAGTTTAAAGCTGAAGGGTGGAAGGAGTTTTGTGAATTACATAATCTAATAATAGAATCCCAGCTTTTCGGCGACTTGAGGATGGAGGAGTCCAATCGTGTCAGGACCATCAAAAGGAGGGTCGAGCACGCCAGAAGATTGGGGACGCAGAGCTGGAGGGCCCGTAGGCGCTGTGAGCTATCACTTTGTGATTAGCTCTAGACGCCCTGCCACGCAGAACAAAAGCACCTTTCAGAACAACTCGAAGCACGGTCACTGGCGCACTTGCACATTGGAAATCACTGATGGAAATCATTAGCGCACTTTTCGAACTTTACAGCTAGATCACTGGCACACTTTGGGAAGTTAACGGTGCACTCAGTTGCTGGCGCACTCGAAGATTACAAGGGGCGCCCGCATTTGAAACCACTGGCGCACTTTGGGAAGTTAACAGTGCACTTGCCTGCATTCGAAACCACTGGCGCACTTGCAGATGGTTCAGAAAATAAAGGCGTGCTTTCGCGAATAAAAAGAGGTAGCTTCGTTCCTTGAACGAAAAAGGCGAGACCCCGAGTCGAACGAGGGTAGCGGATTAATGCACCCTTCAAGAATCCGCGCACTAACCGCTGTGCTATCTTGCTGTGATTAAAAACGAGGCACACGACTATCAATGACTCACCAAAAGAATGTGCCACCAAGAAAAAGCGCCTCACCGAAAACAGGCCCAGCCTCGAATCTAACGAGGAGCTTGCGGTTAAAGGAAATAATGTTGCAATAATGACTGCACGCGATACCATTATGCCACTGGGCCATATCACCACAACTCAATCTTTCAACTTGAGCTTTCTAAAAAGGGCGTGATAGAAAATAATTACGAAGCGCCCCACCAAGAACACAGGAAAAAGGTGCCGCACACTAAATAAAAAGGTGCTTCGTTCAAGGGTATACCTTGAGCAAAGCTACCGTATGGACAGACCCCAAATCGAACGAGGTTAGTGGGCGACATGGCATTCCATAATCAAGATGTCCGTGCACTAACCACTGTGCTATCGGACCGTGATACATAGCCACTCAGCGAACAAGAACAAACACTAGAAAAAGGCGCTTAATGGAGAACGCACCACGTGCAGGAAAACGGTGCGCGCGGGCGCTGCTTGGACGGAAGGTGCGGGGCGCTATTTAAAGGAAAGGTACGGGGCACCATGAAGAAAGGCGCGAGGCGCCGCACTGTTCAAAGGAGAAGCCAGCGCGGTTTGAGGAAAAGAGTGCGAGCACGCTTTGGAGAAAGCCGCCAGAGATGGACAAATGGGGAAGCAGGGAATGGTATATAAGGAGAGTGCGAAGGAGGGAGAAGGCATCTAATTACCTCCACTGCATACTGCTAAAGGAAAGGCGCTCCCATTAAAACGGGAGGCGCTAATCCAGTACATTGTCAAATCAAATATATTAGTGTGCTTTCACGAGAGTGGGGTAACAGGGTCACCTTGACTGTGGTTGTACAGAATAGAAACTGCGTGAGAAGCCTCCTAGACAAGAAAGGAGGAAATGTTGGAAATAACAGGTGTTGAAGTGCGCGTTCAGTTGAAGAAAAGCGCGGCACGATCCTCCAAACAGCCAGCAGACCTACTCAGGCTGCATGTAACTGTTGACTTTCAGTGCTCATAACGCACACCTTGCATGCGTAGGGCGTATTTATCGAGAAGGTGGCTTTTACCAACTCGACTATACCATTTCCCCCATCCAATTCGGCACACTTCCCTCACTTCAGGCTACCCTGAAGTATACCCTTTAGGGTCTATTAGGTTGGTTGGAATAAATGGCCCAAGAGGGTGGTTTTGGGAATGGGCATACCATGGGATATGGGAAGTACCATGGCCCAGGGCAGAAATGGTGACCATGGTACCTCCCATAGGCCCGCCACAGGCGGGAGAAAATTTTGCCTGTGGTACCTCCCACAGGGGTATTTCCCCAGAGACCACCCTAGATCAAAACATCAAAAGGGGTCTATCTCAAGCATCTGGGCACCGTTTGGGCTGCCGAAAGGCTTGTTGGAAAGCCCTTGCTCAGAGCTTTCTGCCTGTGAAGTAGGGACCACGTCAGAGGACATTGATATTTTGCCGTCAGCATACCGGGCCGCCTGTAAATCAGCTCTGGGGCAGGCATTCTGTCATGAATCGGGGTTTTCTCACCCCTTTCATTCCTTTTCAACCCGGACCCGATTCCCCCTGATACACCCGAAGTCACACAAAACGGCCCGGGTTATTCACCTGGACCGCTAAAACCAGCAACAGACCACCGGAACAGGGATATAACAACCCGGGTTATTAACCCTGAACACCAGATCACCAGGAGGCACCCGAAACACCGCGATCGGTATTGCATATACCGATCCCTCTGAAAAGCCAATAGTTTACTGATCATATTTCAAACCTCAAGATCCCCATATGTACGGCTTCCGATCGACAGCGATAATTCAATCTGTAGCAACCATAAGTAGTATATAAGCCTGGTAGAATCTACATGTACACTCGTCTAATACCAGCCTACCTTGGCCTGGCAACGATGAAGCGTCTTCTCACTACCAACTCCGCGCTCTCAGTATCCTATTCTTTGTCCTCTCCTCAGTAATCCTGTAAAGGGGTACTTGGGCGTGTATTATACTGCCTTTGGGTCTCACCGGGTTCCTCCTGGGGTCGATCCTCGTCGTACTTCGCCCGTTGTGGCCATTCAACGCTCGATCCCCTCCAGAGTCCACCCCGGGTTCTGACCGGGTTATTCGCACAAAGGTCCCGGCTAGGTTATTTCCATTTCAGCACCATCGCCAGACCGACCCAGGGCTGTCGCTGACACATTCAGTAGGTGATTGGCCTGGTACTGGGCTTGTTAGAAAGGCCTGAGCTAGGGCTATCAGTGGGTACAATACCTGGGTGGTCTGAGCACTTTGGTATTTCCCGGCAGCGTACCGGGCAGCCAGTAAATTGGCCCCGGTGCGGACATCCAGTGGGTGATTGTCTTAGTAGCAGAGGTCCTTGCTAAAGCTATTGGTGAGTGGATATCATTATTTTTTATTTTTATGCTAGCATTGTAAGATTCAACAAGGTGACCCATCAAATACCTGCTTCATCCTTGGTATGTTTGGCACCCAGTAATATATCCCACATTCCCCGTTGAGCTTATTGAAAAAATCATCACCATATATTCTGATGATTCGATTTCCGCGCTGTAATTCGGGGCATTTAGGTCTACTTTTGACCGCCTTTGAATGTTCACACCCCGGGATACCACGGGCAACAAGTGTGTCACAAAAGAACCGGCGGGGGGGAGCCCGAAAACCCTGGTGCTGAATTTTTGGGGTCGGCGACAACATTGGTTTTTGCTCTAAAAAACTAGGTTTTGATCCATTTTTCAAAATTCCGAGTAAGCTATTCGGTTTCTAGCACTCGGGAAGGATGTTCCACCGACTTTCAAGTTTATACCTCAAAAAGTGGTAAATATACCATTCTGGGATATTGTCGGATGGGAAGTTCCCGCAATTCAACATGCCATGCCCGTTGTCCTACCAAAATACAGAATCTAATGTCAGATTAGGACGTCATCTGAATCCCCTTATTCTGACCTTTCAGAATCTGTCACTCTCAGATTTTTAGTTTGCATAATCATCGTCGAACATATTTCTTAACACCCGAAACGGTCCGATATTTCGCGCTTTGACCGGTTTTGATGGGAAGACCGCACCCACACCTCCTCCTCTGCTATTTTCGATGACATCACCCATTTTTCTTCTCTTTTGAGTGCGGCCCGACTCTGCTAAATTCCCCTTGCTCCGCACCTCCGCACCTACACACAGCGCTGGCGCCGAACTTGGCATGACAACGCCGATTAAAGCCGACGCATGACACGCGGCATCACCGCACCACACGCCTCTTCCCGCACCACCACGTCGACGACGGCACCTCCCTCGACCACACCCACCCGCACCGCGCCCTCAACGGCATGCACCAACCGCACTTCGACGCCGCTGCGCCGCCGCACCCCCGCCCACGCCGGACCGCGCTCCCCGCTACATTCCGCCGCACCCGCCGCACACCGCTGCACGACGCCCGCACCAACCCTGTCGACGTACGCACCCCGGACCGCCTCCCGCCGTCACCGCCACGCACCTACCCGCCCTGCCGCGTCACCGCACCCAGGCCGCACCTCGACCGCACCGAGCCACATTTCCCTTGCATCCACTACCCCACGTCGCCCTTCGCACGCCTACGTCCCACTCCCCGCGTTACGCCCACCTTCCGGCCTACGCCTTAGTGCTGGCAGGGTCCGGTTCGGAAATCGGTTCGAACCTGAACTGAACCGAACTGAACACCGCATTCAGGTTCAAGGTTCGGGCAATGGCCGAACCGAACACGGAGTTCAGGTTCGGCGTTCGGGCTGGACTAGCCAGGTTCGAACCTGAACCGGACCCCGAACCTAATTGCTCCAAAGTTGGGTCAATTTGTGCAGTTTCTGTGGTTTTGGTGCCAGTTTTGACTCTCTTTCCCGCAGATACATACTCAAGGGACCCACAGCTTACCTTCAAGTTGGTGTACGATAGCTTTGACACCTGTTGTGGTTCAATTTTGGTGTGTGAATCCTTTCTGCCGCTGTAATTTGTGTTCTACCTATGAATTAAAAGGTCTAGTAGCTGCTGTACGGTCCACTTACCAAGCCAGTTCCCTGAAAAAAATATAGGGACACTTCTGAACCAAAATCTGCGTCCCCGAGAAGCCCGATTCTCGTTCGCGTTCGAACCCGTTCGAACGCCGAACCGAACCTGAATGCGGGTTCAGGTTCACGGTTCGACCAATGCCCGAACCGAACGCGAGGCTCGAGTTCAGCGTTCGGGGGAAAGTGCCCCGAACCTGAACCGAACCGAACCTTGCCAGCACTACTACGCCTACACGGCCCGCCCTCTCCCGTCCTCCCGAAGCCCGCGATTACGCGCTGACGTCAAGACGCGCATGAGGGCGACAATCCCTCCCTCAAACTACCTATCCCTCTCGTTGCCGCCCCCGCGCGTTTCCTAGGACGCGCTTTCGCCGTACCCGCGTCCCCCACCTCCCTACCGTCAGCCTCCAATCGGTGTTGACGCCCGCATCCCCGGTCTCCGTCCAAGGCCGCTGCCCCGCGCCCGCCCCCTACCTTCGCGCGATAGCCGCCAACCGGGTGTTCACTCCACCCCGGCAACTACGCTCCCCACGCCCCCTACGCCCCCGTATACCACCGCGCGTTCCTGTTACGCCCCAGCCCGCGCCGTGTCCAGGGAGATGGGGATAACGCTGGAACGGTATCGGATGGGACAAACTCTGGTGCGTACTTTCCTTTCTTTTGCGTCCTTCCCCCTTCCCCCTTCCCCCTTCCCCTTCTCCTTCTTTCCTTCTCCCTTGCGCCCACGCCCTCTCCTCCGCGCGCCGCCGTCGATATCCAGGCCGGCGATGCTCCCCAACGACGATATTGGATTTCACAAGGACCTCGATATCGTCGCTGCGTGTTCAGCGCGCTGCTGCGGCAGTCGAGCACGGTCCACGGCGTGTTAATTGACACGCCGCCGCCTGCTCGTCTCTATGCATGCAGGCGCGCCATCGCGGGCGAGCGTTCTACTCCC